ACGGCGGCGGCGACGGCGGCGGCGGGAGCGGGAGCAGCAGCAGCAGCGGCAGCCCCACGATCGCTAAGGAATGCGGCGGCTCCGCATAACCACGGGGTCAGGGGTCACGGCTCCGGCCTCCGCTTTCCCGCTCTGCTGAAGGACCGAGACAGGACTGGCGGCAGGGCGGGACGGCGAGACGCGGCTTTCCCTCCGGCGCCTGGGTGCGTGCGTGTCTGTCGTGGGTGTGTGTGAGTGTGTGTGAAGAGTGAGGAGGGGGAGTGTGGGGTTTTTTTTTTTGAACAAAAACAAACCGAAAGGGCCACTGGGAATCGTAGTCCCGGCTGCCTTTTTGGTCTCCTCCGCTCCGGAAGAATATGGCTGCGTGAAGCGCTTGGACCACACTTCCCGGCGTCCCCTGCAGCAATCTTTTCTGCCCCCACCCCCACCTCCCCGCTTCGCTCAGAGCTCGGTAAGAAAAGGGGTGGGCAGAAGTTCGGGGAAGGGACTGGGCGGAGTCTCGCGAGGTGCGGGAACTGATTGAGGCCCGCGAGATTATGGGAGGCTTTGCTGGGAAGGGGCGGTGGCTGCCCTCCTACAGCCCTGCTTAACCCCTTGTGAACTTCTTGTCTTTGGACAGCTGGTCTGGTGAGGATGGGAATAGGGAATTGGTAGGTCCACTCAGCTCTCAGTTTATGCCTCTGCCCGCCTAAGCGGTTCTTACACTTTTTGTAGGTGACAAGAGGCAGGACTTTCCCTTTTGGTCCGCCCCTAAATGACTCACTGCCATATAATGAGACAAAAAGACACTCATACCAGTAAAACGGTTTTTCCACGATTGAGGGACCTAAACGGTTCATCGTTTCCTCCTGTGCTTTCATGCCATTGTGCTATTTGTAGAGGCTGCACCTGCAGCCTAGAACGTTCTTACCAGCTGGTGAAGTTGGTGATAGGATGGCGGGTAAAGAACTTGAGGTCATGTTGACACGAATGCACCTGACTATGTTTAGAGGCAGTATCCTGAAGAGAGTCCATGCTTTAGAGTCAAATGAACCTAGACCAGAATCCTGGCTGTTCACTCCTTGGCTCTCTACTCAACCTCCCTGAGCCTGTTTTCTGATCCATATTGGGCTAATGTCTTGAAGAATTACTAGAATTAAAATTAAAATAAAATGTCTGGGGCTGGGGATTTAGCTCAGCGGCAAAGCGCCTGCCTGGCAAGCGCAAGGTCGTGAGTTCGGTTCCTGGTACCGGAGAAAAACCAAAAAAAA